GGATCTAATTGACGGACAGCCAGTGTTCCATTCTCTACCCCCTGTTATCAGAAGAAGGCAGAAAAAGCGCAGTGTATCTGAACAGAGATCACCGGAACAGTGGTTTCCCCCATCAGTGGACAGTCGGATTGAGATCCCCATTGCTGCTATAGAGACAGATCTGCCAGTAGTTCAGATAGAACAAAATAGTATGACGGCACCAACAGGAGTTGATGAGATGATACACCAAATGCAAGATACCATGCGGGCCATGCAGCAGGATACCATTCGCCGAGATGAGTTCGCCAAGCAACAGGCCGAGATCATGGCCCAGCAGGCTGAACTAATTACCAGACTGCAACAGTAGAATGCGGCATCTGCTTCGCATTAAGTCCCTCCTCCGGCAGGGGCCCCATTACCTGAGCAGACACCTACTGTTCAGAACGTTCCGCCAAATACCTAGAATACCATGCCGAATATCCAAAACTTGCAAGAGGACACGAACCTCCCAACGGGGCCAGCTCCGCCCCCGCTTCCGCCACAACTGTCCAAGATCCATGCACCCAATCATCTAGACTCTCCTTTTGAGTTTGAGATTGACCACACAGCTCTGAAATTGAGCAAACTTGAGAAGCTCTTCAAGAAATCGCAAGGGGTGAAAGCTATTCCGGACATCGAGGATGGATATACCGATGTAGCCGTGACATTGCCCGATAGGTTCAAAATGCCGCAAATTGACCGCTTTGACGGGTCCGGCGACCCCATGGTCCATCTTCGACTATTCTCAGACATCCTCCGGCCAATGGGCCTAACTAGACCTCAGAAGCTCTCTCTATTTGGCCGGACTCTGTCCGGTGTGGCCGCCACCTGGTATGCAAAGCTAGAAGATGAAGTAAAGAGGAACTGGGATGAAATGGCTGAGGCCTTTGTCGCACAATATTCGTACAACACTCAGATTGAGATTACAACTCGTGATCTCGAGACAATAAGGCAGGAGCCCAAGGAAACCTTTTCTGATTTTGTAACCCGGTGGAGGGCAAAGGCGTCGATGATGACCTTGAGGCCCACCGATAAAGATCAAATCCGGATGATTGTGCGCAATCTCCAACCAAAGCTGATGTAGAGAATGATTGTAATCCCCTTTCCCACCTTCTCAGATTTACACGAGATGGGGGTGCAAATTGAGGATGCCATGAAACAAGGTCTGATTGACCAAGACCGGGAGCAACCCCGGAGAACATTCAACCGAAACAACAATGCGGGCCCGAGTGGCGCTGCGACTGCAAGAGCTTCAGAGGTGAGCGTGGTCACCACCATTCCCCCTCCCCTTCCAAGGCCCATGGCGGCCACACCTTTCTCCGGCGCGTCCGGAAGCAACACACAAACCAACAAATTCCAACCTCGAGGCCAAAGAACCTTCACACCCTTATACATGCCCCTGACCAAAGCTCTGGGGGTATTGATCAGGAAAAAGCATTTGAAACCCCTAGAGCCGAAGCCACTACCAAATCCACTCCCTCCCTCTCATGACCCAGCAAAATACTGCGCGTATCACCAACAACACGGTCACGACACCGACCGTTGTTACAGATTGCGTCACGAGATCCAGGATCTTATTGACAAACAGGTGATCGCGCCTCCCGACAAACCTAATGTCACAATCAATCCTCTTCCAACACATAACCAAGCCCCCCCTCCCAATAGAATCAATTTAATCCAAACTGGGGTCGCATCTTACGATCCTAGTATCTATATCACCCCATCCCACCTACCCAAGCCGGAGGTGTTCCTCCCCGACTGCACCGAATCTTTGTGCATGTTGGACATCTCTACAACCCAATCAGAACCGACGGTGGTGACCACCGAAGATGGGGCAGGGCAGACTTTAGGAAGTGATGGGATTGTTGAATCTGGGAATGAACAGAATTTCGCTGGGAGAGCCTACAATCCGAGCGAGTACATCATATCAACAAGCCAGAATGGGCTGGGTATAGAATTGCCAGAGACGGGAGAGCTGTGTGTAATCCAAGGAGATGGATTTAGGCAAGGGGCAGATGATTTGACAGCTATAGAGGAGGACTTTGCCAACCTGCAATTTTTCGATGATCAGGAACCGGGGGATGCGGCAATCAACTGGTTCGACTATGAGGAATCGGCGGAGGCCACTGGATGGCTCGATGATCAAACAGAGGTAGTGGGGGAATCCCAACCAGAACAGGGCCCGGCAGGGGCAAGAGTATCAGCTGTGGCCGGAATGGCCGGAAGTCAAGTTATACCGCCGGAAAGCGCCGGTGCTAAGAATTCCGCTCGAGACTTGGGCATTATGGATACGGGAATTGTTGAACAATCAGCTGTACTGATGCAGCTGGAACGAGAAAAGTTTGAGTATGCCGAGAGAATTAGGAAAGCTAAGGGCCGTGAGAGGACCGAGAGTGCTGTGTGCACGATGATAGAGAATGCTGCGAGCATGTGGACGGAGAGCACTGCGAGTGCGAGTGGACCGGAGCCAGACAGGTGTCTGTTGGCTGCCAGCGGAATGTGGTGGGAAGACGACGACTTATGTCTTGCCTACACAGATGAAGACTGGGGAAATGGCCAGCCGGATGATAC